AGGTATTTATTCTGATATGAGCCTAAGGTGAATGGGCCGAGGATATCCATCCCCCACCAGGCTAACGACCATGGGAAGGAAATGGATTTGAGCTCGCTCGGAGGGGCGAGGTGCATGTCCCCGTGCCGCTGGCACCTATCACACTTCTTGACATGTTCTTTCGTGTCCTCATGCATCGTCGGCCAGTAGTATCCTACCCATAGGGCTTTCCTCACTAGGGACCGTCCACCGAGATGTTGCACATTGATGCCTTCGTGAACCTCTTCCAGGATGGCCGCGGATTGGGTCTTGTTGATGCATTTGAGGAGGGGGAGTCGTCCCGTGCTAAGGTAGGCGTGTATGGGCGTCATCCAACAATTGGTGTCCCCGATGGCATTGATGTCGAGCAACACTTTTGCCCTCTCCGTGCTTGGTTGCGCGATGATCGCTTGGATGACTGATTTGTGCCCTCTTTTCTTCTTGGTGCTTGCCAGCTTTGAGAGGATGTCTGCCCGCGTGGAACATGTTGGACCTCCGCGGAGTCGAAACTCTTCACCCGTTCCTTTATAAGGGCTAAGTACTCGACGAAGTTGTTGTTCTTCGCCTGGTATTCGCCTCGTACTTGCGAGGCGACCAGTTGAGAGCCCGTGAAGATTTTTATCTCCTTTGCTCCGAGATCTTCTGCTAGGCGGAGCCCGACCAGAAAGGCTTCGTATTCCACCTAGTTATTCGTCGTCAGGAAGGCCAGTGTCAAGGAGACTTCCATGGCAGTGCCTTCCTCGTTTTCAAGGATGATGCCCACGCCGCTTCTTGAGGAGCTCGAGGCGCCATCAACGAAGATGGTCCATTTCTGAGTTCCCGGGGTTGATTCTGGCGCGGGGGTCTTCTCAGCAACGAAGTCAGCCAGAACTTGAGCCTTAAGGGATTTTCTGCCTTCGTAAATGATGTCGAACTTGAAGAGTTCTAGCGACTACTTCAGCATGCGCCCCGCCATGTCGGGTCGGCCGAGCAATTGTTTGACAGGCTGCTCAGTTCTGACTACGATGGTGTGAGCCAGGAAATAGTGTCAGAGTCGTCTAGCTGCATTGACGAGGACTAAGGAAACTTACTCGATCTGTTGGTACCTCACTTATGGGCCCTGGAGGGCTTTGCTCGTGAAGTAGATCAGTTTCTGCGCCTCGGGGGTTTCTCGGATCAGCACGATGCTGACGACTTCGTTCACCATGGCCAGGTACAGGTACAAGGTTTCCCCGGCCTCTGGCCTCGTCAACACAGGCAGCTCCGATAATACGCGTTTGAGGTGGAGGAGGGCTTGCTCGCATTCCTCTGTCCATTCGAAAGTGGCTTCCTTTCTTAGCAATTTGAAGAAAGGGAGGGCGTGCTGCGCGGATTTGGAGACGAAGCGGGAAAGCGATGCGAGCATTCCGTTGAGGGACTGTATCAATTTCTTCGAGCTCGGCGTCGCGACCTCGGAGAAGGCCCGACACTTCTCCAGGTTTGCCTCAATCCCACACTCGGTCAAATAGAATCCGAGGAACTTCCTCGCACGCACCCCGAAGGTGCACTTCTCCGGATTGAAACGCATCCTGCACTTCCTCGCTGTCTCGAAGACTTTCTTGAGATATGTCGTGTGATCGACTTCCGTGCAGGACTTGACGATCATGTCGTCCATGTAGACCTCGAGCATGTCTTCAATCTCTCACCGGAAGACTTTGTTCATCATCCGTTGGTAGGTGGCACCGACGTTTTTAAGGCCGAAGAGCATTACGTTGTAGTAGTAATTGCCCGACTCGGTCATGAAAGTCGTGCTCTGCTTGTCGGCCTCATCCATGGGTATCTGGTTGTACCCCGATTATGCATCCATGAAGGACAGTAGTTTGAAGCCCGCCGAGTTGTCGATGAGCTTGTCGATGTTGGGAAGGGAGTAGGCGTCCTTAGGACATGCCCGGTTGAGATCTGTATAGTCAACGCACATCCTCCATTTTCCATTATTTTTCTTAACTAGTACAACATTGGACAGCCAGGTTGAATACCTGGTTTTCGAAATAAAATTCGCCTCTAGGAGGTCTTTTACTATTTTTTCAGCCGCCGCCGCCGACTTTTCGGGGGACTGCCTGCGCCTATATTGTACTACGACCCTAGCGGCCGACTTGACGGAGAGCTGGTGGCAGGCGACCTCGGGGTCGTGTCCGGGCATCTCTGCGGTGCTCTAGGCGAAGAGATCAGCATTCTCACGGAGGCAGGCCTTCAGTTGCTTCCTCGCTAAGTCGGGCAGCCCCACCCCAATCTTCACGGTCTTTGTTGCGTCTGCTCCGAGGGTCACGATCTCGAAGTCCCCGTCTGGAATGGGGCGCGTTGGGTGGAAAGGCTTCCCGTTATTGGTGAGAGGGGCGTCACTGGCTTCGTCCTCGTGGTTGGGCTTTTTGGTAAATCGGCAGTGGAGGTCCACGACATCGACGTGATCCTTCGGTTTGACCTTCCGAACGGGGGGTGGCTTAGTTGTTTTGGTCGTGGGACCGATTGTACTAAGGCCCTTCATTGCTGCGTCGAAGCATCGACGAGCAACTTCGATATCCCCGTTGAGGGTGACGACGACTGCCAGTATGGTGTAGTACTTCATCTTTAGGTGGACGGTCGACGACACTGCGGTAAGTTCGGCCATCGTTGTCCTGCCCAGGATGCAGTTGTATAAAGACGGGCATTCAATGACCAGAAAACAGACGTTGATTTCCCTGACCGTTTCCTTTTCCCCGAATGTGACCTTGAGTTCCACGTACCCCCATGGTCTCATCATCGTCCCGTTGAAGCCCTGTAGATCGGAGCCTAGGTAGGGGAACAAGTTGGATGCATCGAGCTGAAGCGTCGCGAAGAGATGGGTGTACATGATGTCCATCGAGCTCCCCCTGTCGACCAGGATGCGTTAGACATTGAAGTTGGCCATCTGTGCCCAGATCAGAAGGGGAATGTTTGAGTTGGGGGCTCCCCCGGGGAGCTCTTTGAGGTAGAAGGTGATCTGGTTGGATCGACCTCATAACTTGTAAAGCGTGCTCATCTTGCCAGAGTTGTTGCTTATAAGCTCGTCAAACTTCCGCTTAACTGATCCCACTGAGATTTTGCTTGGGGTCCTTCCGGAAATGACCATTGCCCTCGGGAAGTATTTCCACCGGCTAGTGGGGCGTACCGACTCCTCGGGTAACTGAAGTTCGGCGGGGAGGTTGAACTCTCTTAGGGCGAACCAGTCCTCTGGTTGGCCAACGGTGAGGGCTACCTGTAGGCCTGAGTCGTCGTCGTGAGAGCAGATACAGAAAGAAGGTTTAGAATAGAATACCCGACCCTCTTGTGAAAGAGGGTATTTATAGAGAGACCCCAACGCAGGGCTAACAATCATTTGCTTTGGGCTGGATGGCTAGACCCAACCCAAGTGACTGTTAGGGCTTACGTGGCATAGTGAAGACCAGGGCGTGGTCTTCTCCCTAGATCAACTGTCCCATGATCTCCGGAAGGTGGGCTGACCACCTTTTTCAGAGGTGGGTAGTTGGCTGATAATGTGCCCTCGTGGAGAGGGCACGTGGAGAACGTGTGGAGGACACGTCGTTCTGTCCGACGGTTGAGGTGCTCTGCTTGGCGAGGGCAGTGTCTGGTCGACAGAGGTCTTGTGCTCGATGTCGCCCTGTTGGGCTGGTTCGGGGCCTTCCCCATATATAATTGGGCTGTGCCTGTTTGGACAAACCTGGGCCCAGTCTAGAACACTGCTAATGTCATTAATATCATTATCATTCTTAATGCATAGCAGGACATGGTCAAATATACCTGACTCTATCACATACAAGGTTGACTTAATATTCTACTGTATCTAATCCAGATTTGAAATTGCTCTATCTATACGAGAGAAAATTGCACCAATAACATGCTTATTGAACCATGTACACGTATCAACCTTAGTTTCTACTTCAAACAACCTTGCATGTTCCATCATACCTTCAAGATCACAATATTCATATTCTTTCACTTTTGTTCCTCCAATTCTGTCCTGAAATGGAGTACATTATTGAAATCCCCAATCACCACCCAAGGGCCTTGTTGATGTACTTCTATCTTTTCAATTTCGTTCCATAGTTGTTTCCTATGATCCAGTAAGTTTAAGGCATACACAACCGTTATCCAACTTTGGAACAGACCATCTACACCAAATATGCCACAATGAACAAGTTGTGAGGTACTTGCCATTTTCCTAACGTCCACCTTATTTGCATCCCAAAGTATCCACACTCTTTCGTTTTCATGGTCTTGATAATTGTCACAGAATTTCCAGTTTGTACCAAGCATATGTCTAACTTTCTATACATTCTTTTCTTTCACCCTAGTTTCTACCAAAATGGCAATCACAGGGTTAAGCCTCGAGAGACGGGAGCTAATCTCTCTACTTTTGGCTTTTTTATTCATCCCCCTAACGTTCCATGATATGATCATGGGACTCCTTCAGGAGTCGTTTTTGGGTCTTCCTAAACTCCGAAAGCCCTAAAACCATTTGAATAGGAAAGATTATTATTATGAGTTTCATTCAATACCTTATTTCCTATGTCTCTCTTCTTTCTGTTGACCTCAGTCTATTTTCCTCCATCACTTTTGGTTGCTATTACTTCTTCTCTTGGTGCGACCGGTGTTTTGTGAACATCTCATTTTTCATCTTGAGGTTTCCTGATTTGCTCCCCTTGATTCTATTTAGGTCTCCATTCCTTGACTTCCATCTTTATTTCATTGGTACACATGTGTCCTCCCTTTTGGCATCTTTCACAGTATTTAGGTTTCCATTCATATTCCACATTCTGCCTTCACTTTTGGCCTTCGTGATCTTTTATTGTGACTTCCTCACATAATTTATGTGTCATATCAACCTCTATCAATTTTCGCGCATAAGTGACCTTTAACTTCCCTGCAGTACACTCATGTGTGAACAAAGGATTACCTATAGCGCTGCCAAATTTGCTCAGACTTTTCGTCCCCCATAAATGTAAAGGAAGTTAAGGGAGTTTAACCCACAGTGGGATTGTTCTAAGCACATCTCGTTCCATCGAAAAATCTTGTCGCCATTCCATGATAACCATTGGCATATTCTGAAACGTATATGGTCCATTCATTATCACCTTGTCTCTATCCTTACATGACTTTAATTTCAGAATGAAGTATTCTTCATCATTATAGTAGATTTCCGACAATGTCACAAAATTCCATGTTCTAGTCATGTAGTTCTTAACAGCGTGCATACTCAAATTTGTTTCAAGAACATACATTATCAATGATGTTTCCCAGAATCTCATATCCGCTTCAACATCTTCTTTTGCAATTTCCATTTCCACTTGGCCGTCGACAATCTTAGGCGCAATAAATTGGATTGACATTTCATTTGGAGCATTACAATTGCCCCTAATTACATCCACCGATAGCTTTTCATCTCTTTTCCCTTTATCCCCTTTCTTCGAAGATTTAGGATTTTCATTGACCTCCGTCTCATCATTCCTATTCACCTTCTCGCATGCGTCAGATGTGGCTCCCACAATCTCATTTTCTAATTCATGTTCAATCAATTTTGAATTCTTTTCCATTAAATTGCTTTGCGTTGGGTTACCTATTTCTTCGGTCTCCCCCGCTCCGTGACATAACTAAAGTTATTAGTTTTTTTTAGGTAGTTTTAAGTTTTTATTATTATAACTTATTAGTTTAATTTAATATTTTTTTAGTATTTTATATGTTTAAAAAATAATTGATGGATTTTATTATGCAATATTATATTTTATATCAACATTATTTTATCAATTTTAATAATATTTTCTTAATTAAAAATTATAATTTATAAATTTAAATATATACAAATTGATTCAAAACAAATTATATTTAATTGAATCAATTTATATCAAAAATTTTAAATCATCATCTAAAATCGAATTAACCCACAAATATATTTATTTATGAACCAAATGAGTTTTTATGGGATATTGAATACTAAATATTTAAAAATATAAGAATTTCTATTGAATATTGAATGTCACTTTTGATGTGTCTATTGATTGTACTAGTTTGGCATATTCACTCAACTACCCAGATTGATCCAACGTCGGCATATTCATCTCTTATCACAAATGAGTTGTCATGTGATTTACACTTTTTCCATAATGCCAATAATTTTGTTTTCTTATAAGAAAAATCTATAAGAAACATAATTAAAAACTTAATCTATAAATATTATATAAAAACCTACACATTTACTTTTGTAAAAATTTTAAAAATATTATTTTAAATAAAATATTCTTATTTATTGAGTATATATTTTTAGAGTAAAAATGAACATGACAAAACAAATAAAGATGAATAATAATATTACCATTTTATTTATAAAAAAAACAAAAATAAAACATTATGAAAACATGAAGTTAATAATTATTGCATTTTCTATTTATGGAATCTATTGAAATTGATACAAGTCATAGTAGTTGGATATGTTGCATGGGGAAAATATGTCAAGTTTCTCGTGACAGTGGGAAAGGAAAAATGAAAGTAAACAAATAATCGTGATCTAAGAAGAGAAAAAGAAAATGATAATATTCAGTAAAAAGAAATAAGAGAAAACGATGTATTTATTTTTTATTGGAAATAATTAACAATTGAAGAAAACACGTGTAATTACAGATAATATAATATAAGGTGCGTGGCAGTTGGTTAACATTTCTACCAACCCATTTTTTAAGGTAAAAATGTGATTACTACTAAAATTAAAATAATGTTTGATTTTTTAAAGTATGTAAGTTTAATTTATTATAATTATTTTTAAAATAATATTTATAAATGATTGTATTAGATAACAATTAAATTCGTTTAATAAATAAATTACAAATAATAAAAATAATAAGATGAGGTATAAGAAGAGCTTGATCCACACGTGATAAGGTGTGGCGCGAAGCAAATGCTGCTCTTTTAGTGTGTGACTGTACGACTCTTCACACTTCTCTTTCACTGCTTCTTATTACTAGTACTTCTCATCATTCAAATTTTATTATTTTATTCATTTTTATTTTATTTTCACACTCTTTCTAATTATCATTATTATTATTATAATTATTACTCTGGCGTTTTCTGAACAAGCTCTCTCTGCTCTGAGATCTGATAATAGCGGTTTCTCAAAAGGTTTCCGTTTCCCCAAATACTTACTGTTTTCACTTGCATGTTCATCTTTTTACCGTTCAATTTTTTCTGGATTGCTCTATTTTTGATGATTATATGCTTCTTTGCTTGATTAGTTTGTGTTAATTTGCATATGGTTCATTAATTTCTGTTGAATTTTTTGCTTGATTATGATGATGCATTGAGCTTAATGAAATCATCTCAACTCAGAAATTGACTTGTTTTTCCCATGGTTATGGCCATTGGATTGGCCTCTTCTTAATCTTTCAAACTCCATTTGGTAACTTAATTGTACTATTTGTTCTGATTTTGATGTTTTTGTTTGGGAATTTTGGGGTTTGAGGGATTTAAATTCAGGGCTTTTTGATATTAGGGATTGGAGTAGATAAGGCAACAATAAACATGACATGCTGAGGTTTTTAGCTTCTGTTTTATTAGCTTTTTAGGTTAAATTATTGTTCCTAATTGTTGATGTTGTTTGTGGAATAGATTGTTTTAGCAATTTGACTTAATTAACTGAAATTTGACTGAAATGAAACCTCTTAGTACTATTCCATCTTTTTTAGTGTATTTTTTAAGGTTCGTGTAGCTGCTGATGTAGTTAGTTTTGGCTTGATTCACTGTTTTTAACTGAATATTATTGTTGTCTATAATATGGTTCTTACTTTAAAAATCACATGACTGGATGTGATATTGTAAAGAGGTATTTGTTTTGGAGTTTTGGTTGTTTTTTTTTCCCATTGCTGAAGCATATTTATTTGTTTTACCAGCGTCATGAGCCAAGATACATGGATTGTTGACAAGGCTGGTCAATGAAGAACTCATAATGAGTGGATTAGGGTGGAGTCACAGTCCATGGGCACCCCTGACAAGAAGATATCTGATATTGTTGATGTAGTTAGGTCCTGGATCCCTCGAAGGATTGAGCCACCAAATGTGTCGAGGGACTTTTGGATGCCAGATCAAAGCTGTAGGGTATGCTACGAGTGTGATTCACATTTCACAGTTTTCAACCGTAGGCATCACTGTAGAATCTGTGGTCGTGTTTTTTGTGCAAAATGCACTGCCAATTCTGTTCCTGCGTCTTCACATGATCCAAATACTGCTCGTGAAGATTGGGAAAGGCTTAGGGTTTGTAACTATTGCTTTAAACAATGGGAGAAGGGAGTAGCAGCAGCAGTTGATAATGGTACTCCCTCAGCCGTCCCTTGTCTCAGCCCTTCACCATCTTCGACAAGCTTGGTCAGCTCTAAGTCTAGTTGCACCTGTCACAGTAGCAGCAGCACTGCCGGTTCAGTTCCTTATTCAACCGGGTCTTATCAGTGCGTGCCTTGTAGTCCACATCAATCTTCCCAATTGAATCTGATAATGGATGAACAAGAAAATTTAAATTCGGAGAGGAGTACTAATGACTCTCTGGCTGTAGAGAATTTGAATTCTAACCAATATGGCTATTGCTTCAACAGGTATGTCTTTCTTTGATGGTTCATTTTTGGTGATTGAGATACAGTTCTTGCCTGTTGATAATATGTTTTTGCATATAGATGAATGCTAGTCTTGCAAAGATATGATTTAGTATGTCCACAGATATGGGGTGTGAATGTTTTATAGAGAAAAATGGTGTATAGACAGGATCCTTTTTCGCGTTAGTTGTCAATGTTATTTGTAAACTCTGATTCATTGACTTTTAGAAATATACATTTGACTGGTGCATCAAATCATAGTGGTCAATTCTGTTGTTCTGATCATTTTTATTTCTTCCTGTTCTTATTGTTATTATATGTCTATTCTTTCGAACAGGAGTGACGACGAGGATGATGATTATGGTGTTTACCATTCTGATACGGAATCAAGGCCTTATTCTCGCATCAATGACTATGACGACCTAGTTAACATTCAGGGGATTGACCGTGTCTATGGACCACATATAACACATTCTGACGGAGATAACATTCAGGAAAGAAGTTCGAATTGTGTAGAGGCACCACAAAATCTTGAGGTAGAAGGTGCAGATGGAATTCAAGCACTGGGAAAAGAAACTGATGAGCATGATCATACTGATGGATGCGAAACATCTCCCTATCAGGAGGAGGCTAATAATATGGAGCCTGTGGATTTTGAGAATAATGGGCTGCTGTGGCTACCTCCGGAGGCCGAGGATGAAGAGGATGATAGAGAAGCTGTTCTTTATGATGACGATGAAGATGAAGGCAGTACTGGAGAATGGGGATATCTACGATCCTCCTCTAGCTTTGGTTCTGGAGAATTTAGCAGCAGAGATAAATCAGGTGATAACAGGAAGGCCATGAAGAATGTTGTGGAAGGGCATTTTAGAGCTCTGGTAGCTCAGCTTTTGCAGGTGGAAAGCCTAACTGTTGATGATGACGGAAAAGAGAGTTGGTTGGATATAATTACTACTTTGTCTTGGGAAGCTGCAACGCTTCTGAAGCCTGATACGAGTAGGGGTGGAGGTATGGATCCTGGTGGATATGTAAAGGTTAAATGCATAGCTTGTGGGCATCGAAATGAAAGGTATAGAAAGTGAACTGAGGAAAAATAGTAATGGACTAATGTATTAATCTGTGTGCTTCTCAAGCTTTTATTTTGCTATGTTGTTTCAGTCTTCTGGTAGACAACTATGTGTATGACTTTGACCTATGTTACTGATAACTCCGTCACTTTGATTCCTTCCATAGTTTTCCCTGCATCAGAGAAAAGTATAGGGACAAAAAAAAAATCATAATAGTATGACCTCTTGTAGTCCCACTATGAAGAATAGGCCCATAATTAATGCTCACAGCTGATTGATTATATTGAAGGACAGTTGATTGATTTATCTCTTCTTTTTAATCCTATTCTACCCTTACTTTTTATCATATGCGTTCTGGTTAAAAGAATCCCTCCTTAAAATATCTGTTAGGAAAAAGTTCTTATAACTGCTTGTACAGTATAATTTTATGCATCTTTTGTCTGCTAAGTGTGTAAATCCATTATGCTTATTTGGGGGATGGATTGCTAGGGACATGGCAATCTGAGGATGGTAGAGTACACTGGTAACTGGGGCAAGTTTGTTTTCTTAATAATATCACAAACTTGGTGTTTGAAAATGCGGGTGAGTGGAAAAGTGTGTTATCTGATCCATATGATTCACGTTTTGGTAGAAGGCTTTATTGGTTTACTCATCATTTCTTATTTCTTATTTTTTATATGCCCTTGATGCTCTAATTTCTATTTCCAGTTTGGTGGTTAAAGGCATAGTTTGTAAGAAGAATGTGGCTCATCGGCGAATGACATCAAAAATTGATAAACCACGTTTTCTAATACTTGGAGGTGCTTTGGAGTATCAACGTGTTTCTAATCAGTTATCAAGTGTTGATACATTGTTACAGCAGGTTCTCCACCAATTTCAGCTCTTAGGAATTATAAT